GTGAAATATTTCCGGTTCATTATAATGAAGGTTCGTTTTAGTGAGGTTTTACTGTATTTTTAATTGGAAAAAAAAAAAATTGTATTTAAATATTTTCAATATCCAAATATATATAATAGTAGTCCCCCCCCCCAATTACCTGGCCTAACACCCCACATTATTTCTTACTGTGACAAGTTATAACAATGAGATATAAGACATGGTGTAGATAGACAGTATGTGTACAGGTGGTGCTCCACTCCAGCTCTGCCAACAGCCCACCAATGGTGTAAGCTACCTGCGCATGGTGGCGGATGTCAGCCAGCTCCCAGACAACCTCAAGTCATGGCTGCCTCTCTTCTCCTCTGTGCTCACTAAGTGGGTCTTATACTGTTGTTATATGTAGTTAGTCCATTGTTACATACTGTTGTTGTTGTTGTTTCTTATCCCCTTGTGTAAAGATTACACGGATTCCATGAGTTCATGCTCCTCGAGCTGATCTCATGGAATGGGATGTTCAATGATTATGGCACCATGATGTTACATACTGTTGTTATATGTAGTTGTTTTATAGAATTAGTACATTGTTACATAATGTTGTTATATGTAGTTGTTTTATAGAATTTGTCCATTGTTACATGCTGTTATTATATGTAGTTGGCCCATTGTTTCTTATAATTAGTTAATTATTACATGTAGCTGGTCCATTGTTACCTAAAAGCTGGTCCATTGTTAGATATAAATTGCTCCATTGTTATATATAGTTAGTACATTGTTATATATAGTTAATACATTTTTGCATATAAGCTGGTCCATTGTTACATATACGTTTCCCCATTGTTATATATAGTTAATGCATTGTTGCATATAAGCTGGTCCATTGTTACATATAAGTTTCCCCATTGTTATATATAGTTAATACATTGTTGCATATAAGCTGGTCCATTGTTGCATATAAGCTGGTCCATTGTTACATATAAGTTGTTCCATTGTTACATATAGTTAGTACATTGCTGCATATAAGCTAGTCCATTGTTCCACATTGTTGTAGTTAGTGTCCTTTAAGTTGAGTTCAACTTTTGGTGGCTATATGGACAAATATTCTTAAATATGATCTGTTAGTGACATTTACTCTCAGCTCATCTAGTGACCTTCCTGTAGCTTTCTTGACCCCTTCAATGCAGTTCTTCCTTCAATTTTTCCTAACATCGTAAATCTTTTCCTAACCATTTGTTCTCATTATTTAAGATTGAAATATTTACCCTTTTATCTGTCCATGGTACTTCAAGTAGCTTTGTCCAATGTTCCTATATCAGAAAAGCTTGAAATATTTTTTTCCCCTTCTTTTCTGAGTCCAGCTCTCACATCCATAAGATCCACAGGGAATACCAATGCTTCTACAATTCTCTTCTTATATTATATACAGTTAAACCTGTCTATATAGTGACCCCCTCTAAATAGCGCCTTCCTCTCTATAGCGCCCGATTTTTAAATACGTAGTACGATGCAATTTACATTAAAAGTGACCTGTCTATAGCACCCCCTCTCTATAGCACCCTATTTTGGCGACTCCCAAGAGGGGGCACTATAGACAGGTTTTAAAATTACAATTATATTCTCACAATGAGTATCTTTTTTATTTAAAAAAACGCTACAAAAAATATTTGTAAATATTTCTGGTGGGATCAAGTCGATATTATTGTAAGCCCGTTGAAGAGCAAATAATGCTTGAAAGCTAGCGTTTTTTAAATTAAAAAGATACTCATTGTGAGAATATAATTGTAAATTTATTACTTTTTCACAATTTTATCATGAATAGACAGGTTTAACTGTATATTTTTATACATTTTCCACTAGTACAATTTCACTTTTGTTCTATTTTTTCACATTAGCTGAATCTGTTATAACATTGTTCTCTATTGTTTATCTGAAAGGTGGAGAGGACTGTGTGGTTTGTAGCTCGCACTGTTGCTTAAAACTGAAAATCTTGCAATGTTGTTGTCAGGATGGGAGCTGGAGCTTGGGACTTCAGGGAACTCGACCAGATGGCGGAGAGACGGACTTCTGGACTCTCTTCGTCCCTCCATCTGGTGGAAAGTTCCTCTCAGTCTTTCTCCCAGGTACTACATCCTACATACCCTGGCGGAGATTGTTGGTTCTTTACACTCCGACCTCTTCTTCTCCCTCTTGGAGGAGTGTCTGATATCTCTAGCTGTCAGTGCAATGTGGCAATTAGGATAATGTGTACAGGGCATTGTCCTCTCATCCTACTGCTTGGACCCAAACCTAGACACCATGGTGGACATCTGGACTCAGGTCCTCAACAGGTAACTGGTTTACTCGGTTCCAAATCACTTTATTAGGTACCGCTCAACAAGAGCAACCTAGTTTATGATAATTGAAACAATGAATAATATGTGAAGGTTATTCACATATTAAACAAAATGTTAACGCGGGATTAAATCCCAGTTTCATGACTGTCGGGAATGGAGGGTGTTACCCACTCTTCCACCAACGTGTATTTTTATGCAACTTCTATGTAACTTCTATTTATGCAACTCTGGTTTACTTCTATCATTTTCTACCTCCCAACTCTTTTTATTCTAGCTACAGTGATCTTTACAGTAATTCTTTTGTTGAGACTTAATGAACTTTAAGTTCTGAAAATAGAGCAATCTCCATATTTAAACCTTTAGATAATATAAAGTCATATATTGTGTGGATTGAATAAAAATTTACTTTAAATATTAACCTTAAGTAGATTAGTTACTCTGAAACTTTTCAAAAACAATCAACAATTCATCACCTTGTGTGACCTCTTGGTCTTTATTCCCAACATTTTGCTCTAGTCACAATGGTCTTTCTCTTTAGAATAATTCTTTCATTGAAACATAACTTCAAGTGGATTAGCTTACACTGAAACTTTTTGAAAATCAACAATTCACCTTGCAGGCCATCTCTGTCTTTTCTCATCATATTTGTTATTTCCATATAGTTCAGATAATCAGAGTTAACTCATTATTTACTTTGTAGGCCCATTGATAAGGCAAAATTTGGATTATAGATTATAAAACAAAGTAATAAGACCAAATCCAAATAAATAAATTGTGTGTGACGTTTCGGTAACAGCGTTGTTACCATCTTCAGACAAAAGTACTGAATGAGAAATTTAGAGAAAATATCTTTATTTTACGGGGCTGCTAACCAAAATGAATGATTTTTGAGCCCCTAAATGAGAAATTTTACCACAGCATGTTTTAAATTGCTACTGTTATCAAGTGTGTAAACAAGATAACAGATAAGAAGAAGATATTTATCTGAGAAACAGAATATTATTCGTAGAATTAAAAGTGGAAAAAACCCTTTTTTTTTATTTCACTTTTAATTCTAAGAATAATATTCTATGTTCAGGCAAAGTCAGACTTTCACCAAAGTGTGCCTGGATCATGGTGCCATGATCAACGAAAGCTGCACCCCTATACCCCATTCTGAACTCATGGAATTCGTGTAATCTTTACACAAGGGGATAAGAAACAACAACAACAACATATTCTATGTTTCTCAGATAAATATCTTCTTCTTATCTGTTATCTTGTTTAACTTTTGTCTGAAGATGGTAACAATGCTGTTACCGAAACGTCACACACTATTTATTTATTTGGATTTGATCTTATTACCTTGTTTTGTAGGCCCATGTAATTATACTCTCTATACATTACTCCCTATACATTTGACTTCAAGGCTCTATTAAAGTGTTATGTAGTATCACCACCTCAGTACATCTCTGCTCCAACATGCACAGACAAACTCTATGTGGTACATAAAAGGGCGTATCTGGATCTGTAAAGAAAACAAATGTTTTTTTTTTTTCTTTACAGATCCAGGTATTACCTTTTATATAAACTTAATTGATGGATTGCCTTTTGACTCAATCTATGTGGTACAGTCCGAGGTTCCAGGATGCAGACCGGCTTCACCAGCTGGTGAAGATGGCTGCCTCTGATCTTGCGCAGAGCATCACGTACCATGGCCACCATTACGCTGTCAAGCTGGCTGCCAGCACTCTCTCTCCATACGCTGCAGCAAGGGAAAGTTACGCAGGACTGGCTCAGGTGGGTTTCTTCTCTCTGGGGGGAGAGATTTACCAATTCTTTCATTTATATATCTCAATGATAATAATATTCTGCGATAGATCCATCCTTGATACAGTCTCCAACTTTACTTCAACACCCCAAGGGATCAGAACATTTGATTAAATTATTGTTACAATGTTGAATTATAGCCAGTTAAGATATCATTCTGATAGATGATAAGGCAAAATTTGAGTTATAGATTATAAACACAAGGTAATAAGACCAAATAAATAAATAGTGTGTGATGTTTCAGTAACAACGCTGTTCCCAAAATGTCACCCACTATTTATTTATTTGGATTCGGTCTTATTACCTTGTATTCATTATGATAGATGAATCCTTGTGATGATTATCACGGATAAAAATCATAGTGATAATGATCATTACAATAGATGAATTACATCATGATATGAAACAAGATTTTCTATATGTAAATATATTTCTAAGATCCTTGATGCTGCAGGTCCTCCAAATGAAAGAGCTGGCAGAGAAATTTGACGCAGACCTCTTCTTGGCTCAGCTGAAGGAGATCGCAGGGATCATCTTCCACAAGAACAACCTCAGGTACTGGCCACTTGATTGTCTATTTGGAGATGGAATTCAACACCAATATAAATCAATAAACTCTTTATCAAAAGCACACACACATTCAACCATAGCCTGTACCATACTCAGAAATAGACAGCATCAAACAACACTAACAAGATTTATAATACAATATAATGCGGCTTATGATTGTAAAACGACATTTGAAAATTATCCCGCATGTTTTTCTTTTAAACGAAAAATCAAAATTTATTTTAAGGAGAAATAACGATCATTTCTAACCTTAGGGATGAAGTATGAAAGAATGAATTGCAAAGATTAATGATAAACGAAAAAATAAAGTGTCCTGGGATGGGAATCTAACCCACAGTGTTCCGCTTACCGGGCAGATGCCATGTCCACTAGGCTTGAGATTTAGGATCTCAAGTCTCATTGAAGATATAAATTAACAACAAAATCTACCCCACTTGCCCAAAATGTAGCTTGGCACCTACAGCTTCAGAACATATTTTGACTTGCATTGGATGCACTAAACATTGACCTTTGGGAGAGGCTACTGCTTATCATTAAACAGCTCAAGGGGTATGGACTCTTGGAATTTGTGTAATTTTTGCACAAGGGGATAAGAAACAACAACAGCACCATACTGATGAGGGCCAACAGCCTGAAATGTGCAAGTGTGTGGTAGATTCTTTTTTAATTAGAAAAAAGTGTCCAATGCAGGATTAGATCCTGGGTAGTAACAGTAAAAAAAAAAGACCACCCTTCCACCCACTCTCACAATCTTATGTGTGACCTCTACAGTTCAAAGTGTCAAAATGTATACAATAGAACCTCTAGTTGTGCAGATCCAAAGTGGCCTTTAGGAATCTTTAGGATCTTCTTACCAAAGAATTGTCTTCTTCTTCTTTCTTATCTCCACACTGGGTGAAGTAGAATGCGTCTGCCTTTGTCATTAAAACTGGGAGCACTACTCAGTGGCAGGCCGACTTAGCTCCAAAATAAATGGCCACCTCTGACATAAGGAACAGACGCCATGTGCAGCCACTCCTAACATGGAGTACAGACCCTGCTCATCCTGTATACCTGGATTAGGAGCCCTAACAGGGTACTATCAGCTGGGCCAGCTGAGCCCAGGTTTTTTAGTGAGTTTGTTACTGCTCCCCCTCCTCCTTTTTCATCCGGGCTTGGGACCGGCAAGGGCGGAGTTTCAGAGAATTGTGAATTAATAAAAATGATATAGTAATGATAAACTGTCTTTTGTAGAGAGGTGTCTTCTGATGGATGTTCTACTAAATGTTGGAATTGAGTAAATGCCGTCCAAGTATTCTAATGTACAAAGTTGTGGTTGTCAGGTTTGCTATCAACGGCTCTCACTCCAGCCTGGAGCGTGGACAGCACCTGCTCGAGAACTTGCTGACTTCTCTACCAGCTTCCACCTCTCAGGTCAGTTAGCTCAGGTTGGCCTTCCACTTGTTGTTGTTGTTTCTTTTTTTTTGCTTATCCCTTGTACACATGGTGCAGGCCATGATAATCATGGTGGGTAGAGGTAGGCGACTGCTTTTATTGTAAGTGCACCACATGTCTACACATGTCACATGTGAAAAGCAGTTCAACTTTACACTTACAAATGTGCCAGAGCCCCATTTGGTTACTTGCACTCGCTGGTGAGTTGGACTTTTGTTAGAATCGGGGGCGATTGGAGCTTTTTTTTTTATCAGAAAAAAGTACCCAATGCGGGAATCGAACCCGGGTTGTAGCAGTCGAAAACCAATGGTTTAGACCATTCTTCCACTGACCCCCATTGTTGTTTCTTATCCCCTTGTGCAAAGATTACACGAATTCCATGAGTTCATGCTCCTAGAGCTGTTTTATAAGCAATGGCCTCTCTCAAAGGTCCTGTTTAGTGCATCTAATGCAAGCCAAAATATGTTCTGGAGCTGCAGGTGCCAAGCTACATTTTGTGCAAGTGGGGTAGATTTTGTTATTTTCTATCTTCAATGGCTTGAGATGGCTTGTTCTAAATCTTGTTAGTGTTGTTTGATGCTGTCTATTTCCTTCCACTTCTTGTCGTCCCTGTAAAGGACAACACCTAATTGCAGAGTCAGTGTCCTTTAGGGAGAGGTGTCCTCTTACTGGAGAGTTGCTAAATAGTAAAAATGGTAATTTTGAAAATTAAAACTGTTCTTTATGAAGAGGTGTCCTCTCATGGAGGTTCTACTGTACAAAGTAAAAAGACCAAATCCAAATATATTAATAGTCTGCGATATTTCGATGATAGCATTGTTACCGAAACATCACACACTATTAATTTATTAGGATTTGGACTTATTACCTTGTAGTTTTATTCAATTCAGTAGCTGGCAAATATAATCTCCCAGCTCCAACCATAACAACCCTACTCTGTGTGCTATCAGACTGGGAGCAGCGATGCCGCCACCTTCCAGCCTGCGGGACATCGCACCCACTTTGTGATGCCATTTGATGTCAACTACGTAGGCCGAGCTAAGTCCACCCCGGCTGGACTGGCAGATCCTGGCAGCCATGCCAACCTCAAGGTGGCAGCACGGTTGCTAGCTTCCCGGTGCCTCCATAGTTGTATCCGGTGAGCCCATTTGTTCAACTCACAATATTCTTTGATTTCCAGACTTAATTCTGGTCATCTACAGACAATGACTTTTCAGAATGGTTGCAAGGTTTTCCCACTATGTACTAAGTGTCAACCTGCAACCCCAAGACACATTATTGACTGTATTGACTCATCCATTGATGAGCTCTACTCTTTCCCGGCAGACACCATCAAAAGTCTCAAGCTTTACAAGCTTGATACCTTAGTGTGATTGAGTGGAGATAAGAAAGAAGAAGATTATATTCTTCTTTCTTTCTTATCTCCACTCAATCTTATTAGGGTATCAAGCTTGTAGAACCATCATGACTAGGTGGTGAGTAGAGCTCATCAAAGAGATTTGATATCCATAATGATTGGGTGAAGTCAAATACATCTGCCTTTGTCAGTAAGTCTGGGAGCACTACTCCGTAGCAGGCCAACTTAGCTCCAAAAGAAATGGCCACCTCTGACATGAGGAACAGACGCCATGTGCAGCTGCTCCTAACATGGAGTACAGACTCATCCTGTATCCTTGGATCCAGGTGCCCTTACAGGGTACTATCAACCGGGCCAGTTGAGCCCAGGTTTTTTAGTGAGCTTGTTACTGCTCCCCCTCCTCCTTTTTCACCCGGGCTTGGGAACGGCAAAGGTGGAGTTACTCACAATCTTGATTATAAGAAATCTAAACTATTTTTGATACGTATGATTATTTTTGAAATAAATCAAATTTCTACTGCCCTTACTGCAATGATGAAATTATGGGAGGGCCTGGCTCATCAGTGGTGAACAGTGATGTATTTCTACTGTCCTCAAAGCTTTTATGTCATAGTTCATTTAAAATACCATTTCCCAGTGTTTAGCTTCAGTATCAACATAAAAGGATAAGGAGATGCCTTTTTTAATAATTTATGCACCTTATCCCAGTACAATATTACAGATATTCTTTCTTACAAAGATTTTGGATTTCAACAAATTACAAAAAAGGCATAAGGCTATAAAACATCCTGTTTTAGTTTGCTAAAGAAGGGCTTCCCCGAAAGCTACTTTAATAAATTTAATTAAAAGAGTTGCAGTGTCTTATGTCTATTTTTTTTGTAATTACAGATATTAATTAGAGAATATTTGTCACCATATACAAGGTTGTACCATAAGTTGGTAAACACTTGCAATAAATTGAAATACCAATATTATTCGCTATTATGTATAATGTCTTTGTATTATGCAAAAGGTAATTGTATTATTATGTATTTTCGCCGTTATAATATTATTCGCCAAGTAATAAGAAAAGCAACTGTTTGGTGTTTATATTTTTATAATTAAGAATGAGATTTGTATAAAATGTTTATTAAACTTTATACGGATCTTTTTACATCATGTTGTTTACATTCTAATTCTTTATTTTTGTTCCTAATGATGCTATATGTTTATTTACAGATTAATAGGATATCTTTGTATTTAGTCCCGAACAGCAACATTTTAAGAAAAACACGATCTTTTGGGATAACCTTATTGTCACCAAAAGTCAACTTGATGGACACTAACAAAAATAATAGTTAGCGATGATTGACAGTGCCATCTATCTGTACAGGGAGCAAGGAGGAGCTTACGGCAGTGGAGCCAGTGTTTCCCGCAGTGGCCTGTTCTCCCTCTACTCCTACAGGTGAGTCCAACACTTACTTCTCTTACAATGGCCCCCGATTCTTGCAAAAGTTCAATCACACCAATAAGTGCAAGTAACCAAACAGGGCTCTGTCACATGTTGTAAGTGCAAAGTCAAACTGCTTTTCATATGTGTAGACATGTAGTGCACTTAGAGTAAAAGCAGTCACCAACTTCTACCCACCATGATTATCATGGTCTGTACCACGTGTATTAAGGATAATCAAAATAAAAACTTCTCTTACAACGCTGCATACTCCTCCACTTCAAGATTTTTAAACTACAGTACTTACAGAGACCTTTTCTTAGATTTAAGAGACTCTTCAAACAGTAAATGTATTTTATTAACACCTTTCCACAAATGCTTTAATTGTTATTTCTTCCTATGATAAGGGAAAATATTTTTGAAGAAATGTCTAAAGAATAAAACGCATTTCCTGGCCGAAGTGTCATCTTAATTCTAAGAACTTTAAATGCCAATTAGTCAACCTCTATCTTCTTACATAGACCTGTTTGTGTTCAGAGAAACTGAAGAAGAATTAGTGAGAGTATAATACAGAGTATATACATTATCATTACTCTTCACAATTCATCCTTTCATACCTCATCCCTAAGGATAGAAATAATTGTTATTTCTCCTTGAAATAAATTTTGATTTTTCGTTGAAAAGAAACACATGCGGGATGATTTTCAAATGTCGTTTTACAATATACAGCTGTCCTCTAACCTTTTTAATTTAACACTCCCAAGGGATCAGAATTTTTTTATTGAATTATAGTTGGTTGATGAACTATTCATCACAACCTTCACTGCTAGAGGACATTTTTCTAAGGCAGGTTGTTGGCATTTAAAGGGGGTGTTGAATTAAAGTTTGTTTTTTAAATTATATATACTCATGGACAAAACTTAAAGAAGTTGTACCTTTTATCATGTATATCGGGATTCAGATAATAACTCTGAAAGATATTACAGTGACCTTTATTGAAGACACAAGAGATAACAAAGTGTGAACTAAATTGCCCCTATCTTCGTCAATAAAATAGATGACCGGCAATATATCAAACTATGAAACTTCCTTAAGTTTTGCCCATGAGTGTATAGCCTATTGAAGTATATAGACTGGGACTCGAGAAATGATTGAAATAAGTGTTTAGTGAGTTAT